TTCCCCAATGCTCTCAGGCAGAAAGACAGGCGTCCATAGATTAACAGTTCTCTCTCATTGGTCTGTAGACAGTTGGCCTTCTGGCTTCATTCTGTATTGATGCTCCAGGTCCAACAGCTGACCCTTGTTGTCCTTTCTACTCTCTGTCTCTATTCATATAGGGGCTGCATTCTCACCAAGAATACCTAATGCCCATGGCAAGGACCTCCCCTGACAATCGCAGACATTCATTCTTTCACTTATTTGTTCATTCATTCTATAGACATTTATGAAATGCGAATATAATTCAGACCATGTGCTAGGCACAGATACCCACCCCTTGATAGTCCTACGAGTCTTTCTAGACTTCTTGCTATTGGGAACTATGCTTTGACCAACTGCCCAGAGTGTCTCCCATGATTTGAACCTAAGCCCAGCTAAATTATTTGTTTCATCTTTAAAAACCAATTTGAAGTTTATGTTCCTTCCAGCCTTGACCTAGCCTACTCCAGAACTGGCTAGTCTCTATTTTCATATTCAAGTTTAAAAGTTTATTCTTAAAGGTTTTTTTTTTCTTATGGACTTCTAGCTACTTTTTATTGCATAAAAAGGACTTATTGACAGTGGCAGATGTTGTTTGGTTTATTTGTTGTTCACTTTTTTTTTTGGAAGGCATTTGAATTTTACTAGACACCATCAATTTACATATTTATAAACTTGGGCTATAGATTTTATTAATAATCAAATAATTGATGTGCTATTTTATAATAAATGTTGCTACTAGTAAAAATAAATATTAAAATAAAAATCTTATCTAGAAGATTTCTAGAATACCGAGTAGATAATACATGAGGATAAGGGTAAGCCAGATAAGTCTTTAACTGTCTAATGAATTACAGAATCTCAAAGGCCTGCAGGAACTTATTAGTCACTTATCAAATTCCATGCCTAAAAATAATTACAACTATTAATAATGTAATAATTAGCATTTAATGAGTAATTTCTATGTACTCTGTTATAAGTGAAAAATATGATTGATTTAATTTAATACCGGAAAATTCTCTTCAGCACTGGAAACCGGTCACTGACCATAAGTCTCAGATGTTTCAGATAACTGAATATTACAGACTTCTTCAGTTTGCCCAGGCTAAACCATCCCCCTCTGGAACCTGGCCGATCAGGCCTACTCTCTCTTCCTATGACAGCCCTTTAAATATTTGACAAAAATCATGCTTTTCTTGAACCTTCTTTCCTCCAGGTGGAACAATATCAATAATTCATTTAAGGAATTTATTCACTTATAGTATGCGATTCTTTTCTAGAGGAACTCCCCCAATCCCTGGACTCAACCCTCTCCCTCCTATCAAATGTCATTGCTTCTCAAAATGTGGCCCAATAACCAAACATTGTTTCAGGCATAAACAGAGCTGGGGAATTCTGTATTTGGTTCTATGCTATTGGGCACTGCATTTTGACCAGCTGCCCTTATTTATTTTAAAGTAAGTAAGTTCATATAAGGACTTCAGCTTGGAGTTGAGTGGTGGAGAGAGATAGAGAGCAAGGACAGAAAGCATTATATGCCAGAGAGCTGAGTTTCCTGAATTAAGTTACATGCGTGCTGACTTTCATGTATGCCAAGAGTTTAAAAGTAATTCCTGAAAAACAGCCACATAGAACAAAGGCAAACCATACCCACCAAATAGGCATTAATATTCTTCCCAGCACCATTACTATGTAAGAATTGTACTCTATTCAGAACTCTTGTTTAACTACTTTATAGCTGCCTTTCAAGTAATTTATATTGGTTATCCACTGGATATGAGGTACTGCTATAGAAGGCAGAATCTTTCTAATGAAGTCTCACCACATTCTTTCCAAAGGAGGAGAGAGTCTGTGAGGAGCCTCTGAGGCATTCTGGGAACCCTGTAGGGCATCCTACAGCCAAACTGAATGTGGCATTAGAAAGACAAGAATTAAGACACTTGGGAGCTGCACTGGAGTCCCCCCTTAAAGGTTGCAGAATTGGAAGCTGGATGTGTCTGAGAAACTCCCACCCTTCATGTTGGGGTTATCTGGACTTTAGAAGGAGCCCAGTGATTTGAGGAACAGTACTTTTCTTTACTACCTAAGACTCTTGAATGTCATCTTACTACCCAATCTTACTACCTTGGTAGAGGGAACTTGGCTTTCCTCTACCAAGAGGAGAACAACTTTCACATTCCACTTTACTTCAGACTGGCTTTCTTAGGGAATCAAGCTGCCTTGGCTCCAGTGTTAAATCTCTCTGGTTACAGAACTTCAAACCCTTCCAGAAATGTCACAACAGCACTGCCCAGTCCCAAGCTTGTTGAACACTAACATGGAATTCATGTGAGTAACTAGCATGACATAACTTAGCAGCAGGCTATTGCAAAACATCTCTGAGTATTAGGTATAACTGAAAACAAAGGAATTTGACAACTATTTCTGGTAACATTCTGGAGACATGGCCAGTCTTTAGTGGTAGACTATGTACCTAAGGGTGGCTTAGGTACATTATAGTGACTATGTACCTAAGGGTGGCAAGATGTGTCATGGCACTTGGTTCCTCGGGGCCTCTCCTGTGTTAACCATTGCTACTTTTAATTATAATTAGAGCCCATGGGTTGTTATTCATGGTGGTGAAACACACACTCAAATATTTTGAAATCTTAATAAAAGAATGCACGGTTAGTTTTAATTTTCAAAATTAACACTCATTAAAAAGTATGTGATTTGCATTAGCACATTCTTAGTTTGTAATAAGAATCTTCAAGAATCACTCTTAAATTATGACAGCAGCCTCTCCCCAGTTCCTGGGCTTAAACACAATATGACAAAAGACCCATAAGCAATGTGCAAATTAGCTTGTTTCTGATTTTACCTTCATTTCCACATGTTTCAAGTCTTTAAGGAAATCAATTTATTCTTTATTATTCTCTGCAGGTGTTTTGAGAGTATATTCATTGGACAAACCAAAAATGTTGGCAACAAAATCCTGAGATCCAGTTTCCTTGTGCAGGCTGTTGGTCAGAAGCATTTGACCAGTATCCCAATTTTAACCTTAAACATATTTTAGATTATATGATAGAAACTGTCTTTTTTAAAAGCTGCGACTATGTTTTCTGCTCCACATTTTGGGGATAGATGCCAACATGAAATCTTAATAAAATTATCATTATGTAATTCACAGCAATCAGATTGTATATTCCTTAATTACATGATTTGTTAAATATCCATACATCATTAAGCATCATCTTTTATACCTATAAAATTATAAGCTCCTGCCATATAATATAACCCAGATCTACCCAGCTAGAACAAAACTGTATAATTCATCAAAAATTACCTTTTTCTTCAGCTGTATATTATGTTGCTTTCTCTAAATTATCTATCACTCTTATCATGGCCAATGTGATTATGAGGGATAATAGAAAATGGGAATAATATTGCTATTTTAAGTAAAAAAATAAGCTAACTCTCTTTTGAGTAAGTAGTTTCAAGCTTCCCTTGCCAGATTATGGCCCACTTATATCTTTTTATTGTCCTAGTCACCCCCTAGTGGAATTTTTAGTAAGTAGTGGAAATACATATAGACAGAGTGAAACTACAGAGATAAAGGAGATAGCCAAAAAGCCACAAAGTTGAATGATTCATGGAGCATGTAGGGGTAGACTGTATTATCATCAAGCAGACGTTTTTGTTAATGTTAATTATTTATGACTACTTATAATCTTTATTAGTTGAGGTACATAGAGAATAAAATTGCATAGCAGTTAATAAAATAACTTGTAAAATATTCCAGTTTAAATACACTCATTATTTCGAAAGGCTTTCTGGGATGACAGACATTAAAACATTTAAATCTTACTAGGGAGCCAAAGGCTCTCCAAGGATTTGTAGTCACTTAAACATCTCTAAGTCTATTTTTGAGTTAGAAGTTTGAGTTAGTCACTGTTGATTTGTGTATTTTTAATCATCAAGAATATCTGAGAAATACACAATTTGGCACCTCACTTTATAATCTGAAAATAACAACACTGAGCGTTAAAAAAATTTTGAGCAAAAGAAAAACATATTTTTTAGTTCATTTCAACCAGTCTTTTTTCTTCAGCCTAATAAGGATATAAAATGTATCTGGCGTTAGCGTTTCCTACTATTGCTGCAGCCTGCCAGAATGTGGAGACCTTTGCACAATGAATCCATTATTACAATAAATATAAAAAGACGACATAATATTCTAAACAGCTCATCACATTCTTTCTAATGTTCCCTGTACTCGATAAAATATTTTAATGTATGCTAAGTATTTGAATATATTTTCAAAATAGTAAATTTATGCTTTCAACTGTTGTCCTTTAGGGGTCCTTAGTGCACATTTGTAAGGTTGTGACAAACTGGATCTTTAATAATCATCATAATGGTCACTTTTACACTGGAAGAAAACTCAGTGTTTTCCTAAGTTTCTCAAGGTTATGTTTTTACGCTGTAGCTTTTCAACATAATGTAGGAGTCATCATCTTAGCAACAAGGATTTTCACAAAGTCAGGCTTCAAACTGTCCATTCTGATTCTGGAAGACCTTTAGCAATTTCATGCTAGGTGGAGGACTTGGTTAAATAAATAGTGTGATTTGAAAGATGCTCATTATACTCAGTATTAAACACTTATAGTGAACCCTGCATGTACCCACCCACTAGGGCAGTGTTATTTATTATCAACAAGATTTCTGTATGGTTTTTTGAGCCTGTTCATGAAGTTGGCAAAAGCTGAGAATGTTGTTCATCCTACCCTGTAATGTGGGGAGGTCGTGGAGAATTACTGTTAACTAAAAGAAGAGGAAAATTTAGGCTTTGTTGAAGGAATATTAACTTTAGTAGTATTCCTTTCCATTCCAGATAGCCCAATTCATAGAAAAACCTACAGATATGTATAAATCCATATGGAGGGTAGAGAATAAATCTCAAGAAGGGATCTGGTAACACAGATGGTGTGTAGACTCACAGGTGGTTGGAAGAGTTGTATCAACACCAGAAATGGAGAGGGGTTCCTTGGTCAGGACTTTGAACAAGCACACCCAATGAATATTATTGAAGTAAATAGGGAGTCTCTTCAGTTTCCTGCAACATCTTTTCTACAAAGCTGTAAAAGAAGAAAAAAAAAAGTCAGATGCCTTCTTAGTTGTCTTGACGTTAGAAGCTGGCTTATATCATTTTCCACTCTTTAACTCATTTTCTAGTTTTATAACCATTTTTTGGAAAAATTGGGCCTCATTTATTAATATTTTTGTCTTGGCATATCTCTATCACCTAGTCTTCTGATCTAATCTAGAAAGCAGGAAACAGAGGTAAAGACATACATCCTGGCCCCCTCCTATTTATTCTTCTAACTGTGTGATCATCTTAGCTGGTATTCTTTTTATGGTTTAGTATTTTAAGAAATGTCTGATTGTGCTTCCTGCCTTTTCAGTAACCTATACCCTTTAAATCAATATTTTAAAAGGTCATTTTGTCAGTTACTTCAGAATAAATAAATGACACTACAACATCTCTAATTAGATGATGAAAATCACAGTGAAAAAACTGGACACAATACTTAAATTCCTCCTTTGTTTATAATAAACAAAATAATTGATGCTAAGAATTACAAATAAACTTATTTTCTAGATGTAAGTATTTTAACTTGTTAGTTTTAAAATTAGGAAGATACAGCTCATATCAACAATAAGAAACTATATGTGTTATATTTTACATTTTATTGTGAAAAAGGCATATTTTACATCCAGTGTGGATTATACTTAATGTCTGAAAGCCATTTTGAACTATTAAGTAAATGAAATTAATTTACCAGGGTAAAAATCTTCATCTTTAACTTTTAGCTACTTGATTTGCCACAAGTCAATGCCTCAAATAAACTGTACATTACAGATTATTTTAGAATCAGTATGACATAGGAACTATCAAAAATATAAGCACAAACTACATATTCAAGTGATTTATTGTTCTTCACAAATCTCCATTTGAAGCTACTAGTTTTATTGTTTATTTATTTATTTTTGTTGGAGACAGAGTCTCGCTCTGTCACCAGGCTGGACTGCATGGCGCTATCTCTGCTCACTGCAACCTCTGCCTCCCAGGTTCAAGCGATTCTCCTGCCTCAGCCTCCTGAGCAGCTGAGACTATAGGTGCTCTCCACCATGCCCAGTTAATTTTTGTATTTTTAATAGAAGCAGGGTTTCATCATGTTAGCCAGGATGGTCTTGATCTGTTGACCTCGTGATTCACCCTCCTCTGCCTCCCAAAGTGCTAGAATTACAGACGTTAGCCACTGCACCTTGCTAGTTCTATTCACAGACTTCTGAGAGGAAGTGAGATAGATCCATGATTTTCATTTGAGTGAATGTGAGTACAAGGGTAACTGTCCAATGGCCCTTCTTTAGCTGTCAGGATTCAAAATGAGAATAACACACAGATAGCCACTTTGGCTAAAATCCCTAAATTTTAACGTTATTAGAAAAGTCACATGTATAATAAAAGTTAGATGGTATGACAAATAAATCCTGAAATTTCTCACCTACCAGTCCAGGATGGGTGGTCCTGACCAGCAGGTGGCTTTCCCCTATGTGATGATTCAGAGAACAAGGCCCATTTCATCTCAAAGCTCTGCCAAACCCTTGGACCACAGAGTCCTCGGATTCTAGTCACCACTAGGGGGAAGAATGACATAGAAGGGCACACAGGCAGCTTTATAGGAGCAGGCCTAGAAGTAGCATAAAATCACCTGTGTTCACATCCCATTGGCTACAATTTAATCACATGATTTTGCTGCAAAGAAGTCTGGGAAATGTGGTAGAACTGCATGTAGGTGAACAGCCAGTGTGGTCCTAAAATGAGGAAAGTACTCACCTATTTTGGACTGGTTTCTAGGGCAAGCTCTGTCATTAAGGAATTGTGGAAAATTTAGCAAGTTCTGGTCTCTACCTTTTGTATGATTTTATATCATAAAGCTGACAGTCTTAAAGAAAAGACATCAAATCAACAAATAAGTATATCTTTACAACTGTTAGCTAATGTAGGCTCCAGGAGAGCTTGGACCATGCCTGTCTGGCACATACAACAGTGCTTGGTACACAGTAGGTACTCAGCAACAGTTGTGGAATTCGTGCATGCCTACCTCTATGCATGAATGAATGAAAATATTTGAGGGGAGAAATAGGTGCTGTGAAAGAAAGCAGTATGGAATTTAAATTAGTTTGGCAATCAGGGAAGGTCTTTCTGAGGAAATTATATTGACATTAAAACATAAAGGATGACTAGAAGTTAGCAAAAGAAAGAGTTGTGTGGTGGACAAAATTTTTCAGGAAGAGGAAACAGCATGTTCAAAGGATCTGAGTTGGGAAGAGATTAATACATTTAATGAGTTGGAAAAGGCCAGAGTTACAAGACTTTAGAGGAGCTGAGTGGTAAATGGCAGAAGTGAAGCTAGAAAAATAGGCAAGGGCTATATCAGGCATGGTTTATATGGTATGTCTTGCCTCTTGGTCTTTCCATAGTCACAGTGAAAAGTAGAAGGAAGGAAAGGGGGTGATGTGATTATATTTTAGTTTTAAAAGATCATTCTGTCTTTCTGTGACAAGTGGGTTGAGGTGGGGTAGGAGTAGAAGCAGTTAATTTGACTAGCTAGGAGGCTGTTGGAAATCATCCAAATAGGATACCTAAACCAGTGCAGTGATTTAAAACAAGGTGGAAGTAGAGCAGATAGAGGGATTTGAAATACATTTTATAGATATAAGAAAATTGGAGTAGTTGGGCATATACAACAATAAAGTCCTCTGGCTCTATTTGTCATTATTGTTCTCTTTTGAGATGCCATTAAAATGACTGTGCTACCACTAAAAGTAGACTTTTCAAGACAGTTTTGCTTTCTTCAGATTCTTTTAGAACCTTTGTTCCAACTCTCAAGATTTTTCAAAAATCAGACAAATAGCAAATATTTAAACTTAGGCTATTTTTCAAAACTTGCTCCAAGTTATATTGTATTTCTGTTTCCCTTTGTCTTCAATAAAGAAATAAGTTGCATAATCATAGTGAAGAATTTTGTGTGTGCATGTGTGTTTGCAAATGTATTTTCAAATGCCCACATATTTTACCTTTAAAATATGTTTTTGTTAAAAAGTAAATTTTGGACAACCTTTATTAATTTTTCTAACATGGTACTGTTGGTTCTCCATTTTTCAATTTAATGTATTAGCAAGTAATTCAAATATTCTAGTAGTGTTATTTGAAGCCAGCATTCTGCTCTTTCATAGCCCATTCTAATGATTTAGGTCTTCGTTAGAATTTTTTTGGAGATAAGAACACTGTGTACAGAAGACTGGAAATTCGATGTCCCTGCATTCCATTCTGCTCTCCTCTCTCTCCTCATTCGTTCTTGGATTACATATTTATCTCTGTCTGTATTTATCATCTTGAAAATGGACATTATAATGATTTCCCAGAGGTACTGAGAGAGCTATTTCAATGTTTACAAGTAAGCTTTTAAGATGATGTGCACAAAAGAAGATTATGATCTTGGGATTGATATATTTGCAAAATGGCTGCTATTGAACAAGTAAGAATGCTGTGAGGGCCTGGTGGATTTCCTGTGGGGACGTTATACCCACAATCAGTGAAATACTTCGCGGTAAGATCCCTCCCTCATCCTAAAGATGAAGCTTCATTCCTGTGACTCTTCTGGCAATAGCATTTACATGTGTTAAATGTTGTTGCAATTTTAAATCATTTATTTGAATAATTTTCATCCAAAAGGCACTATTTTGAGCTACAAGTCATTGGATTAAATTGTTTCATGGCTTATTTGCATTCTAGAGGAAAAAAACATGAAGGAACTATAATTTTTATAGAAAAAAATTTTGGTTGTTTCTGCCAAACACATTAATGTTTATAACCTTTTTTCCATTTCATGTCTACTGGGATATCTTTCACTTTCTTTTTGATATCTACTCCAGATTAATTTTTACCTACATTCAGTTTCAGATTTTTTTAATATTTTAAAATATTTCTTTATTTTTCATTGCTTTTTCCTGTCACATAGCCACCTCACTTCAAGATTATGCTATACGTGATCCAAAGCATAGGAAATTGTAAATTCACTTTATTGCTCTGACTTCAGTTTGTATGTGGATGTAGGATAATAATATAAAAATGACATGTATTTGCCTTCAAATTCCAAGCTGTGAATTATAATTCCTGGCGGATATTTGTATACTTCACTTATTCCAAAACTGGTAGTTTACAACCTACCAAAAAAAAGAGACCTGAGGTCTTGGATAAAGTGCTTTACACAGGAGAACTTGAGAGTCAAAAGACTTATTTTGTTTCAAGTTTCCCTGTTGCACAGATCAGCCAAGCAGATCTCTGATTACACTGCTTTCTGGCACCTGGCACAGAAGAGGAAAATCCTCACTTCCTGAAAGCCAAGCGTTTAAAGACAAAAAGTTGACCTTCCAAGCATCTGGATTTACTGCCAAAACACTAAATAAGAACAACAAGCAGAAAGACCATGAGTCAGAGGAACTCTTCATTTTATTTCAAGGATGAAGTTCTAGATACATGAATCAACTGTAAATAGTGAAAGACGTGTGAGTGTGTGAGTGTGTATGCATGTGCATGTTTGTGTGTTTTTTTCTACTTGTAAACACCTGCTTTGTTCCTACTTCTCCTTTGGAGACACAGTCTTTTTATAGTAAGGGTGGTAATTAGATCCTTTCCTTTTTAGACACTCATAGTCATCTTTTGAATTTCAAGCCAATATCTCTATCTCAAAATAGAATGAAAATTCAGTTTCTTAGCCTGTGGCACCTTTGGGCACTCTCTTAGCATTCAATGAACATTTACTGAGCTTAGAGACAGACACTATACTAGACCCAAAAAGCAAAACTGCTGCAATGGGATGTTCTGTCCTGTTATTAGTAAATTACATAAAATTAAGTCATTGAATCAGACCCTTGGTCCTGCTAAAACCACACTTTTTCTATTACAATAGTACCAGGACATGTGTTAGTACAGAATACAGTTGCCCTTTTTACTGTCAGATTAAGAATTTACCTCTAATTCTTCATGTACATTAGTAATTTTTATTAT